TTTTTTTTTTTTTTTTTTTTTTTTTTTTTTTTTGTGTGTGTGTGTGTGTTCAAGATTCCCGTGTGTGTGTGTTCAAGATTCCCCCCCTGCTCCCCTCAATTATGTTGTCCTGGAGGTACGACGAGAAGCTAAGGGCCTCACCACATGACTCTCGAACGAAATGCAGATGCATCTGGCCATGTTCTAGCGCGAAGTTCATTCTCATCTCATTCTACACATTTCAAGAGTGGTGTGGCGATTCCCTAAGGCATACTCATTCGACCCGAGGACTTTCCCTGGTGCAGCTGATGGTAACGAAAGGCATAGGGCCTCGCCACACGACGCCCGAAATGCGAAAATGATAAAAATATGGCGGGCGACTCTCTCTCTCTCTCTCTCCTTCGCATCCTCCCCTTCATCCTTCCCTTCCTCCTTCCCCTCCTCTTCGTCATCCTCCTCCGCTTCCTATCAGAAAGGCTACTTTTCTTTCCTCACAACGGGGATCTTTACAAAGAAAGACGGCCGAGTTGCACCTGGCATCGACAGTAAAAGAGCAACCATGAAGTACAACGCAGGAGAGTAATGAGAGGAGGAGATCCCTAAGCCACCAAAATGTAGTTGGGGAGGCTTGGTAAGAACAACATCCTCCTACAAAGGACAACATGGTGCGCTAGGAGTACTAAATTGTGAGAACATGGAAGACGTCAGAAAAAAAAATCATCAGAAAACAGAGATAAAGAAGAATTCCACAAAGAATGACGAGAACGACTAGGGCTAGACTACGCGAAGTAGAGGATCACCTCGCGCAAGGGAAAAAAAGAAAACAGTGGGAAGTCCGACCTAACCTCTGCATCGACGAGGCTCTCTCTCTCTCTCTCTTTCTCTCTCTCTCTCTCTCTCTCTCTCTCTCTCTCTCTCTCTCTCTCTCTCTCTCTCTCTCTCTCTTTGTGTGTGTGTGTGTGCCCCCGCAGATGGCCTTCGACCCACTACTTACCCTCTGCAATCGACTTCTGAATCTCGTCGTAGAGAACAAGCACGAACGCCCCACCAGTACCACGGATGGCCTTCGACCCCCTTGGCGCGACAACGGTCTTCGAAATGCCACCAGAGATACCACTAGCGAGCAAGTCGACTGCGAAGGACTGGGCGGTAGAAAGTCCTTGACTTTGTTTCCCTTCCTTAGGAGCGGCAATGAACGGCATCACAGCTTCTTCCATAGCCGGCTTTCCCGCCATAACCTGTCTTCCCACCATAATCGCCGACGTGTTCAGGAGAGATTGAGGCAGAGGGCTCTCAATGGCAGTAGCTGCCGCGAAGCCGTGCAAATACGGCGCTGCGGTGGCGGCCGCGGAGGCATCGCTTCCCTCGCGCACGTAGAGATCCCTTCCCCACCTACTCGGGGAAACCGCCGACATGCCCACCGCCATCGTGCTGCCTGCCAAATCAGAGCACAACGCCAACACGGTGCTCGTGCCCGTAAATGCTGCTTAACACCTCTACTCCACATGGCGGCTCCTCGCCGTATCACCTCACTACTGCCAATCAATCCCCTCAATCTCTCCACCAACCAAAACTCAAGAGGCATTCTAAGCGACTTCAGCGATGTGGTCAGCAATGTGAGGTTTGGGTTGGTCGTCACGGCATGTACGACAACCGCCTCTTCAGAAGGGTACATTGTCGCCTTCGATGCGGCCATGGCAAGACTCAGAAGAATAAACACGGATATGACACGAGAGCAGGCCATGGCGGTTTGCATGCGCAGCGGCAGAGAGATGCCTCATGTTCGGCACTGAGATACTAGTCACGGTAAACTAAAATCACAGAACGCCGAACTCGGGAGATCGATACTACCAAGAAGAGAGCCTAACATAGAAGAGAGACTAACGTCGCCACTTCCAACAAGATACTACAAGTGCTTCAGAGACTGAGCAGAGGCGGAGGTGGAGGTGGCCGAGAGGAAACTTACCAAGAACAGCTCTCCGTGAAATGTGCATGTGGGACAAACAAACGACACAGCAGCACCACGGTGCAAAGGCACCCGACAGGCACGTCCTGACATCTCTCTCTTTCTCTCTCTCTCTCTCTCTCTCTCTCTCTCTCTCTCTCTCTCTCTCTCTCTCTCTCTCTCTCTCTCTCTGGGTCTCGCCGCACGGCACACGAAACGAAAACGAAACGAGTGCATCTGCCCAACAAAGGTGGCAAAATACACTCGTTACCATTTATAGCAAATCGATGAACGTGGCCATTTTCTTTAGGAAGATTCATTCGTTTCGTTTTTCATTTCGTGTGCCGTGCGGCGACGCCCCCTCTCTCTCTCTCTCTCTCTCTCTCATACACACACACACACACACTCACCACTATCGAAAATAAGACAAAAACATGGTGGGTGCATCTGGCCATGAACTAGGGGGAAGTTCATTCTCATTTCTCACATTTCCAGAGTGGTGTGGCGATGCCCTTTAGCTCACGAGCACAACAAGAGGACGAACGAGATGTCATCTAAGCCATTCACTGTGAACTCATCAAAGGCCACAAGTTCGAGAAGTGTGTCAGAGAAGAGAAGAAGTTCAGAGAATGAGCAGAGGCGGAGGTGGTCGTGAGGAAACTTACCAAGAACAGCGAGATCCGTGAAATCCGCATGTCGGATAAACAAAGGACACACACTGACAGGCGATACAGCACCACAGCGCAAACGGACCCCGCAGACACGTACAGTCAACACACCAAGATGACGACACGGAGAATGCAACGGACACCGGGAACAAATTTGCGGCACGCTGTACATATACCCCGCAATACTGACACACCAAGATGGTGACAAGGAGGACGCAACGGACACGATCTGCGACACTCTGTACGTATACAATCAATACTGACACACCAAGATGACGACAAGGAGGACGCAACGGACACGCGGAACAGATCTGCGACACTCTGTACGTATACAATCGACCCCACAGGCACAAAAAAAACAAGAACATGTGAGTGCATGGCTCTCCAAAAGGCTGCAAGATACATCCAACTAATGATGTATTTGCCACCTTCTGCAGGTTCGGGCGGCTTCCTCGTTGGGCCTCCAAGTTGACGGTTTCTAGCCGTTCATTGCCCAGTTTTTTCCGTCATGTAAGCTTTGATCTTCGTCAGGCCTTGATGCCGAGTAGAGGCCGATTTTTTTCACTTCCAAGTTCCCGCCTACATTCAAGTACATTCCATATAGGCGGGAGAGGTGTCCCGCCCTTTTTAAAAAGTTGGAAATGTCTAAAATGGACCGACGAAAAAAGAAGGGGGAACCGGAAACATGTCCCGCCCTTTCCAAGAAGATAGAAATGTGACCAACCCTCCAAAATAGACTGACGGGGAAAACAAAGGTAGCGCACTTTTCAACATAGGAGCAATTATCTACAAACCCTTGACGAGTGACAAAAATTTGTAAAAAAGGACTGAAAAATAAAGTTTAGAGGGAAAATCCAACTTTCAAGTATATTTTCCATTAAAAAAATTTCTGTTGTTCATTTTCTTGGCTTTTCTCTGTCAATCTTGGAAGAGGTCTATTGACTACTAAGGTGCTCGTTAGACACTCCTAAAGGAACCCTAAAAGATTCAAGACCAGTCCTAAAAGAATTTTAGGAATTGTGGCACGACAGTTACACGCATTCCTAAGAAAATATTGTTTAGGACTAGTCCTAAAAGAAAGTTGTCATTAAAAAAAACAAGTCTCAGGCACACCGTGACGATGCCATGGCAGGCAGGGCGCTGGTATATGACCCTGCGGCACCAACGCACGCGCGTGAGAGAGAGAGAGAGAGAGAGAGAGAGAGAGAGAGAGAGAGAGAGAGAGAGAGAGAGAGAGAGAGAGAGAGAGAGAGAGAGAGA